TATATTAAGGGAGTTATTTGAGGTTGCGTGGAAACCGATTTACTCCTTGCCCCAGTATACAAGGGACTTCTTTTGTTACCAACGCCCTGAAGTGTCTAAGTGACGCTATTCTCTTTGCCAGCTTCTCAAGCGTCCAGATGTGTTAATCTGTGCCTGTATAAATTTCACTTTTCAAGGCAATCTGGAATGTCTCAGTTTTTACATATGCTTGGGTAAGTTAATTATAGTTTACGAGTACCTAGAATGATGTCTGTAAAGTAGTCACTGCTGTAGAGAAATCAGTATCGGCTGTGTGATCCCACTTAGTTCGACCGTTCTTGATCGCTAGAGAAGCGGATTCGAACGTAGATCTTCCACTGTAGAGACTAAATAGCTTATGCCCTCAATAAACCACCCATACTGATAAAACTTAATACCCTTACAATTGTGTACGTTTTAAACTAACTAAAGAATCTGTACATACGAAATGGGGACAGAATTGGGTCAAGGCTTTGTTAATCAAAGTATGTGTGTGTTTGACCCAGATCAATGAGTGCTGGGGCGGTTGGGAAAGCTAGTGAATGCAGGTACTGACAGTAAATATTGGTGTCTGTGTGCAGAGTGAGGGGGAGAGGGAGAGTGATATATGTGTTAGACCACTTTATCTATCTCCACTGTATATCTGACTTGCCTTCTCTTGCACTAAACAGACAGATAAATATAGGAGACTTATGTCTTTTGGTCTGGAGAGGCAATCTGAGGAATGAAACAGGAGAGCAGGAAGGAGTCAGCAGATGGGGGTTGATGACTGATGCTTGCTCTGTCTTTCTGTCAAGATGTTACCCTCTTGGTGATGACTAATGTTGAGTTATTTTCTTGACAGGATGTATATTTTCTGAAGAGCTGGCAGAAGATTCACAGTCCAACCAACATCCACCAACCATCAAACCACCAGAAACAAACTGTTACCCACCAGCTAACACCTGTGAAGGTTCCTGACATCTCCAACATGTGGGAGATGGTACCTCAAACAGCTACCAGTGCTAGAGCTTAGTGTGGCTCAAAGACATTGTGTGTCCTTACTGGTGATAGAGACTTGCTAAATACCGGTACAGTTGCTGTGTCTTCTATGGTGAAGTACTCTTTCACTACCTGATCCAGTTGAGCAGAATTACCAGAGTCAAAGACAGTCGAATCATCAGGAGCTGAGGGAGGCATCATAGACAGAAAGAGGCTAAGTGCAGTTTGATGCCTTATGTGCTTTATTCCTCACAGCTCCTAGGTTGTCCAATGATGACAAGATGTCATCTCCAAGACCTTCTGTCTGTGTAGTATCTTTGTGATTTGGACAGGATATCCTGAGATCTAGCCTAGGAGATCTGACAATTGTCTCACTTTTATATATCTATTTTATATTGATTACATGCATTCATTTTCATGGCTGACTTAGGTGTCTCTATTTCACCTTTTTAAGTGTTTAGCAGTTGTGTATGTATGTATCTTCATTATATGTGTTAACATGGTTATGATAATGAACTATCATAACCTGGGGGCTTTCTTTAGTAAGTAGTGGGGGTGTCCAGCCAAGTGTGCCTAGAAATATTGTATTTATATACTGATATATTTTGTAGTGCCAATACTTGAGTTGCCCTACTCCAGAGATAAGTTGATCGTATATTGGCCACGGGGAATCCCTTAGACCAATACGAGCCAAACGACTCAACATAATTATCTCTGAGTGCTGTTGGTTCTGAAGGAGGAATCCTTACATTAGGCACGCGACAGGAGTGATATTTGACACACAGCCTTTAGTCTCTCGTATGGCAGTGATGATGTTTCTCCTATCTATAGATGGACCATTCCTGACCATTCACACTGCCAGACAGGACGTCTGCTCTCTCACTGCCTTACAGTTTATTAGTTTGTAGTAATGATTCTTATATAAAAGTCACATATTCATATCATAATTTGTTTTTGAAGATTTACCTGTTTATATAAAGATTTACCTGTTGAATTATGAATCAATAAGATAATTTATTGAAAGTGTGGAGAAAGAACAGCTTGCATGCCAAACACTTCACTTTCTAAAAATAAAGTTCACTTATGAATTCTCATACCCACCCGCTCATGCACACAATAAAATAACACATGAGGACAACAATTTGTAAATAAAATTAAGTATAAATGCGATTTTTCAAAATAGATACATAAATACGTAGCCACTGTTAAAAAAGAAAAGCGGTCATGAAACATATATAAATATATCATCATCACCATGTTCCTTGCCTAAAGACAAAGGCGTCTCTTTCACTGTCTAAGGCAGTGGTTCTCAACCTTCCTAATGCCGTGACCCTTTAATACACTTCCTCATGTTGTGGTGACCCCTAAACGTAAAATTATTTTCGTTGCTACTTCATAACTTCAGTGAATATGTGTTTTCCGATGGTCTTTGGCTACCCCTGTGAAAGGGTCGTTCGACCTCGACAAAGGGGTCACGACCCACAGGCTGAGAACCGCTGGTCTAAGGTATTTTAGTAGTCTGCCCTTTGAACGGTTGACTAACTTCTCTGTCTCTGTCTTTTTCTGTATTCTCCCTTCAAATGGCGGTAGGCACACTGTGTTGCGGTTTACAGCTAAGCTGAGTTGTGATGATTCAAGAACCGACACCACAGTACTCGGGTCATTCACATAAGCACTCCGTCCCCATCTTCAGCAGCCAGTGCAGAGTTCAAATACTAATGGTGCCAGAAGCATTCTGATTAAACGTCCATCTTGCCTTTCCTTGAGCATCTGCAAGAACCCCTCGTCACTCCTTGCTGCATCAATCTCACCAGACTGTGGTGATCCATCTGCTCCTATGAACTGTACACGCTCTCCCATAAGGCACTAACCACGTCTGCCTTATCATGCATCAGTATTCCACCAAGTTGTGCTGAGTCAGCCAATCTGTCTGCTTATTCATTTCCTAACACAGCGGTTTACAGCTAGACTGTGACATCTATGCCTTTCAGCAGACACATATGATTTCAGCAAAACCCTTATTAGTCGCTTTAACGGCCAAGAACCCACACAAGGAAACCGGGTTCCCAGAACCTGCACAAGGAAACTGGGTTCCCAGAACCCACACAAGGAAACTGGGTTCCCAGAACCCACACAAGGAAACCGGGTTCCCAGAACCCACACAAGGAAACCGGGTTCCCAGAACCCACACACAGAAACCAGATTCCCAGAACCCACACAAGGAAGCCTGGCAGGACAGATGGAATTGCCCACACTACATGACTGTTGGTTTAGTTAACTTGTCTATGTTTGACCTAAATTAACATCAACAGTCTATGTAGCTTGGACTGGCAGTTGACTGACTTGTCTATGTTTGACGTAAATGAACACCAACAGTCTTTGTAACTTGGACTGCAAATTGACTCACTTGTCTATGTTTGACCCAAATGAACATCAACAGTCTGACCCAAATGAACACTTACAGTATGTAACTTGGACCGAAAGTTAACTGACTTGTCTATGTTGGACCGAAATGAACACCAACAGTATATGTGACTTGGACTGGAAGTTGACTGACTTGACCTAAATGAACATCAAGTCTATCCAACTTGGACTGGCAGTTTACTGACTTGATTGTCTGACATAAATGACTGGAAGTTGACTGACTTGATTGTCTGACATAAATGAACACCAACAGTATATGTGACTTGGACTGGAAGTTGACTGACTTGACCTAAATGAACATCAAGTCTATCCAACTTGGACTGGCAGTTTACTGACTTGATTGTCTGACATAAATGACTGGAAGTTGACTGACTTGATTGTCTGACATAAATGAACACCAACAGTATATGTGACTTTGACTGGAAGTTGACTGACTTGACCTAAATGAACATCAACAGTCTATCTAACCTGGACTGGCAGTTGACTGACTTGATTGTCTGACGTAAATGAACACCAACAGTATATGTAACTTAGAATGGAAGTTGACTGGCTTGTCTATGTTTGACCTAAATGAACATCAAGTTTGACCTAAATAAACACTAAGTCTATGTAACTTGGACTGGAAGTTGAATGACTTGTCTATGTTTGATGTAAATTAAAACCAACAGTAGATGTAACTTGACTGACTTGTTTCACATAAATAAACATCAAGTCTATATGACTTGGACTGGATGTTGACTGGCTTGTCTATGTTTGATCTAAATGAACATCAACAGTCTATGTAACTTGAATTAGAAGTTCACTAGCTTGTCTATGTTTCTACACCTACTGTGTGAAAGATGGAAGTTTGAAAGGGCCCAATGTAAGACAGGCCTGCGTGCCTAATTTGTGACCCTTTGAAAATAAAGTTTGTTCATTCGTTCGTTCTACAATTATATCAACACATAATGAAGCATAACAAGTGAATAAATTTGACTGACACACTCTCTCAACAAACTGTGTTAGTCTAGTTCAGTGGCTCTCAATCTTCCTAATGCTGCGACCCTTTAATACAGTTCCACATGTTGTAGCGACCCTTTAATACAGTTCCACATGTTGTGGCGACACCCAGCCATACAATTATTTTCGTCGATACTTCATAACTTTAAAGAACATCTGTTTTGCGATGGTCTTTGGCAACCCATATGAAAGGGTCATTTGACCCTCCCCCCCAAAAAAGGGTCACACCCCCCACAGATTGAGAACCTCTGGTCTAAATGTTTATTATTAAAGCTTCGGCCAGTCTCAGCATTTGCCTGATATAAAAGAATAACCAAGAGTCTCGACACATCGTGTTAGTCTAGATGCAGCAAGTTCACAAATGTAGTTATGTGACTTTATACTGACTATGAATTCCTTCTGCTTACATAATAGGGGGTTGCTAATTTTTATTGTTAAAGCTTCGACCAGATTTAGTATTTGCCTGTTCGGTGTGTCCATCTCTGACATAAATAAACACTGTCAGTCTATATAACCTGGACTGGAAGTTGACTGACTTTTCTGTATAAGACGATTTTCAAAAGTCAAAGTGACTGGTTTTACTGACTTGTCTGTCTGCGTTTGATGGAGATAAACATCATCCAAATCAACGAGCACAGGTTCCCAAACACAGTGCGGTACTGAAGAGAGAGAGAGCAAACAAATATTGCAGCAGACCTGTAAATTCAGTTCAAATACACACAGTAAGTATAAAAGATGGTTCTTTATTAATATCCTACCCCAGATGACTCCACAGGACAGTCCAACATTTTAAAGTGTGGTAAGACAGGGTTTTCCAGGTTTCTGATGCTTTTAATGACCCCAAAACATCTAGAACTGGCCCTAACCCCAACCTACCTACGTCCAACGAGAGGGTGAAGCCTAGGTCCCACGACTGCATGCAGCCTATCTACCACCCCCCGAAATTTTAGACTTCCGTGACCTGTGGATTTACCCTGTTTGGGGTAGAATATTAATAAAGCACCTAAAAGATTACTTTCTAATGCTTAAAAAGATGGTGCAGCAAACACAAAATCAATCAATCAGGTGCCACCTCTACAGTGACTGCTGGTGCAATGCCAGGTCTCTTGTCCTGATCGTACTCTCTCTGACTACTGCCTATCCATCTCTTAATGTTATCCTCTCACTTGTATCATCATCCACCTCTTGCTCTCTTGCCTTCGACCTTTCCCTGGAGTATGGTTTTTAAAAATGTGTCATGGCTTTTAATGGCCATTGTATTTCAATCGTCTCTTTTTTATTTCTTTTAGTAATTATCTTTTCCTTTGTAGTCTTTCCAGAAACTCTGAACTGGCTTGTTTCCATGAAATATGACCTATTTTTCCAGGGAATTCAATTTTCTAATACAGTCTATCACAAAATCCCAAAGTAGGGAGAAAAAAGAATCTTCCTCCAAGGTATGCAGGTATGTTGGGAAACAAACAGGCAGACAGTCTGACTGGTTCTGCACCATTGGTTGGTGAAATGATGCATAACAAGCTAGATATAATCAAGGATCTTAGGAAGAAGGTGAACTATTTGGAAGTGTGAAAAGACCATTATGGACTGGAGAGAAATGTGCAGTGACTTCTTCTTCTTTTTCTTCTTAGTGTTAACTGGCTGTAAACTCCAGCAGAAATTTCTGGTTGTTCATCCACTTTTGTCCCTGTGGGGGTTCCGGGGCCCTGTTATAAGGAAAACAAGAATTGACCCACTGCCTACCCAAAAGCCTGTCCTAATAGTCAACTAATTTGGAGCTTCCTTTGAAGTCGGAGTGCATGCGCCTGAGAGGCAAGGAACCAACAGTCTGCACACAAATGAGTCAGATCTGTCAAACGGATGCACATGCAACACTCAGGTTCTAAAACAGGACTGCAGTCCAGAAGTGGATGAACAACCAGAACTTTCCGCCGGATTTTACAGCCGGTGAACAGGAAGAAGAAGATCCACTTCTGGATTTTAGTCTTGTTCCAGAACTGGAGTTTTGCATTCAGATCCATTTTTACAGATCTGGCTTATCTGTAGGTTGACTGTTGGTTCCTCTCCTCTCAAACAGATCCATGCACACTTTGAAAGAAACACCCCTGACTGGCCACACCTTTTAGGACATGCTTGTCAGGAGTCAGTCGGTCTATTACCCTTCCCTCCAAATAGGGCCTGGAAGACACATGGAAACAGTGGGGATTCACCAGGGGATCTGTACTGTACATGCAGATGAAAGGTGAGACAATGTAATCAAACTGCTACCCATAATATCAGAACTGGAACTCTCAGCTAGCTGCAGAAGATGGGGATGGAGCACTTATGGGAAGGTCCCAAGATCTGTGATGCCAGTTTTTTTAACCTCCCCGTGTGGGTTCAGGGGCGCCACATTGTGCGGAAAACAAAATTAGACCCACTGCCTTTTAAAAAAAGCATGTTGTAAGAGTCGACTAACTGGAGGCTTTCTTTAAAGTCACAGCGCATCTGCCGGACAGGCAGGAAAGCACAAATCTGCCAGAAATAAGTCAGATCTGTAACATTGATGTGCAGCAACACTCAGGATCTGGAACAAGACTAAAGTCTATAGGTGAACGAACAACAAGAACTTTCTGCCGCAGTCTACAGCTGGTAAGCATGAAGAAGTTGTTCTTTAACCTCCTACCCAGCCATTCCTCATAAGATCTCTGTGGGTTCACAGTTAAGAAAAAAGAGGATTAAAATGTTTGATGACAAACCTTCAGCGGGACATGGTTGATGTTGATGTATTGGACAAATGTCCAGGCAGTCCAGTTTAACTTGAGAATCAGCCAGTAGGTGTCTGTTATCTTCCTGACTGCTCCCTTGTTGCCAGCCCCCTGGGGGTAGAGAATATAAGGAAGTGTGATGTGGTAGAGGAGATGAGGAACTGTGATATGGTAGAGGAGATGAGGAACTGTGATGAGGTAGAGGAGATGAGGAACTGTGATGAGGTAGAGGAAATGAGGAACTGTGATGTGGTAGAGGAGATGAGGAACTGTGATGTGATAGAGGAGATGAGGAACTGATGTGGTAGAGGAAATGATGAACTGTGATGTGATAGAGGAGATGAGGAACTGTGATGTGGTAGAGGAAATGATGAACTGTGATGTGGTAGAGGAAATGATGAACTGTGATGTGGTAGAGGAAATGAGGAACTGTGATGTGGTAGAGAATATGATCAACTGTGATGTGGTAGAGGAGAAGAGGAACTGTGATGTGGCAGAGGAGATAATGAACTGTGATGTGGTAGAGAATATGATCAACTGTGATGTGGTAGAAGAGATGAGCAACTGTGATGTGGTAGAGGAGATGAGGAAATGTGATGTGGTAGAAGAGATGAGGAACTGTGATATGGCAGAGGAGATTAGGAACTGTGATATGGTAGAGGAGATGAGGAACTGTGATGTGGTAGAGGAGATGAGGAACTGTGATGTGGTAGAGGAGATGAGGAACTGTGATATGGTAGAGGAGATGAGGAACTGTGATGTGGTAGAGGAGATGATGAACTGTGATGAGGTAGAGGAAATGAGGAACTGTGATGTGGTAGAGGAGATGAGGAACTGTGATGTGATAGAGGAAATGAGGAACTGTGATGTGGTAGAGGAGATGAGGAACTGTGATGTGATAGAGGAGATGAGGAACTGTGATGTGGTAGAGGAAATGATGAACTGTGATGTGGTAGAGAATATGATCAACTGTGATGTGGTAGAGGAGATGAGGAACTGTGATGTGGCAGAGGAAATGATGAACTGTGATGTGGTAGAGGAGATGAGGAACTGTGATGTGGCAGAGGAGATAATGAACTGTGATGTGGTAGAGAATATGAGGAACTGATGTGGTAGAGGGGATGAGGAACTGGGATGTTCTAGAGGAGATGAGGAACTGTGATGTGTTAGAGGAGATGAGGAACTGTGATGTGGTTGAGGAGGTGATGAACTGTGATGTGGTAGAGGAGGTGATGAACTGTGGTGTGGTAGAGGAGATGATGAACTATGATGTGGTAGAGGAGATGATGAACTGTGGTGTGGTAGAGGAGATATGAAACGGTGACTCAAAAGAAAAATGTGATTGAGGATAAAGAATGTGATTGTTTCAGATTAGGAGATTTTTAAGGACATTTTAGAGTAGAGAAAAAAAGTTATGTGGTTAGTAAGGCACATAAAGTGTAAGTTATATTACTGATTTAAGAATTGGCATCACAGCACACCAGGCATAACCATAGGTGCTCTGTCTCAAACAGCACATCTTAAGTTGTGGATGCTAACTGTTTCCGTAGCACACTGATTATAAACTCATTATTTCATCATTCTCTTCCTCTAATATGTCCCTCCTTGCCCAATCAACACCTAATTCTTCGTTCACACATTTTTTCATCTAACCGCATGTATTCTATAAGCATTCGTTCATAAGTGGTCTTAAGAATGTTTCCTGCAGTACAACAGAGAAGACAAGAATGGACATGCTTTATAAATATACTACCCCAAACAAAGGAAATCCACAGGTCACGAGACAGTCTAATATTTGAGGGAGTGGTAGATAGGCTGCATGCAGTCGTGGGACCTAGGCTGCATGCAGTCATGGGACCTAGGCTGCACCCTCCTGTGGGACTTAGGTGGGTTGGGGTTAGGGCCAGTTCTAGATGTTTTGGGGTTGTTAAAAGCATCAGAAAGCCGGGAAACCCAGTCTTACCACCCTCTAAAATGTTGAACTCTCCTATGACGTAATCTGGGGTAGGATATTAATAAAGAACCGAATGGACATATCAAACACTACTGAAACAATAGAGATGTGATGTATTAGAAGAGCTGCTGGAGTCAGAAAATATCAAATTGAAAACACACACACAAAAAGACAAGGACTGAAACTTATTAAATTCTTTAAACAGCGACAGATGAGATGATTTGACCATCTCAAAAGAGAATGCTGTGGTACCAACTGCCACAAAAAGCCACACTTTGAACATTTAAAAAAAAAAAAAGCACAAGGGAAAGATTGCACAAATTAAGGTAAACTGACACTAAGGATAGCTTTAAATAAATGAAGTTTACATTATGCAATACATTAGAAAGAGCACACACACACACAAGGTCTATTCACGCCCCACCTCCCCCCAAAAATACAACCTCAAATGAGTTATCTGGAGGAGGAAGAGGAAGAAAGGTTAAAAAAGAAGAAATGTTAAAGAACAAGAAAGGTTTAAAAACAAAAATTTTTTATGTAGGTAAGAGGATCAACTTCTTTGCTCAGGGTTGTACCCCAAATAATAACTCATTTTCTTTCAGCAGAATGGCAAGCCACCTGCCCAGAGTGTGGCACAAAGCATAGACTCTGCAGCTCCGGCAACGATCTCCAGGGACCTCTGTAAAAACTACTACTAGCGATGCAGCTGTCAAATGAACCCATGACCACCACAGCGCAGGGCAAATGGTTTGACCACCTCACCACAGAGACCACCAGAAGAAGAAGAATATGAGAAAGAAGAAAAAGCAGAAGAGGAAGAAAGACTATTTTAACAAACCTACCTCAACTAAAGAAACATAATATAAGAACAGCAACAGGAATGGAGGAGCGAATAAAAGTCGGTCAATAAGGACTCTTTTTAATGTTGCATTTGGTGTGCTTTTTGGGACAGCCTTCTCCAGGAAAGCGTAAAAATGATGCACCAAGGGTCCATTGACGAGAAATCTGTGAATAAAACAAGGAAACAAGTTACGAACTTAGCCCTTCCACCCCAGCATGAACTGAGAATCAACATCTCAGTACTCAGGATTCCCATAATTGCTCCGTCCCCATCTTCAGGAGCAAGCACAGATTTCAAATTTCGTAACAGTCTGACTTTATATGCGTCTCGCTTTTCCTTTTGAACAATGGATCAACATCATGGCACATGGTTAGTAACCCATAAGGGCTCTGTTCTTCTAAATCAAGTCTGAGTCTGAAGAAGCTCAGCACAGGCTCTGTAGCACCGCCGAGGATCCTGAAATATGTCAGGTAGATTTTAAACTCCAAATTGTGCCCGGTATTCGCATTTAGGCTACTCTTTTTGATTTGTGTATGTATGTGTGTGTGTGTCTGTATAGGTCTTTTTGTGCAGCTACGTGTGTGTATGTGTATGTGTATAGCTGTGTGTGTCTATGTGTGTCTGGGTTGTACGTGTGTGTGTATAGCTGTGTGTGTCTATGTGTGTCTGGGTAGTATGCATGTGTGTTTTAGAGCGCATGCCTGTGTGGGTGACTGTGGGTATGAGTGTATGTATGTGTGTATGTATGTATGTATGTATGAGTGTATGTATGTGTGTATGTATGAACGTATGTATGTATGTGTTTTCTGATGGTCTAAGGTGACCCCTGTGAAAGGTCGGTCCAAAAAAAGGGTCGCGACCGGCAGGTTGAGAACTGCCGCACTAGAGAAACACAATACGACTTTAACACAAGCTACACAACTAGCAAGACAGGAAACTACACCAAACTCCTCTTTGCGACACCTTACGGGATTAACAGCAAGAGACAAGTAGAAGATCACAGTGTGCAGACTGCATAAGGCGATCTCGGATGTGGCAAATTTCTGTTGTGAAGAACAATTTGTTTATCGCCGGAAATTTTTTTTTTCCTGGAACTCTTATGTGGTTAAAGAGTATTTCTGATAAGAAGTATTTCTTGGGACCACAGTGAGATCTCCCTATCAGGTCTACACTAGAACAAATGATTGCAACAATAACAGGGTAAAAGCCAACTGAAAGACCCCCAGATAGGATATAAGGATGTCCGTAAACAGAACATGAGAACCCTTGACATAGATACATAAGTTCAACATGCAGAAGATATAACATGAAAAAAAAAATACTACTAAAACTGAAGTAATGCAGAACAGCAACATTCTTAGTCTGCTACATATCGGGTTCAATGGTACTTGTCTAAAGCAAGTTAAAGAAGAACTGACACTGTTATTAAGAAATCTAAACATAAGTATGAGTGCCAAGAAACAGATTATAAACAGCATATTCATACCAACACTGCGCTACCAGTGTCAGACTTGGACATTATCAAAGACTAACCTACCCAAAATTACCACCTGCAAAATGAGATGCCTAAGAAAAGCCACCAACTTAACCATCCGAGACAAAGTTAAAAATGATTTTATCAGACAGACTGTAGGAACAACACCATGCAGGAAATTCAATGAGAAACAGAAGATGAAATGGTTTGGTCATTGAGTGAGAATGCAGCCAGAACAACTACCAGTGCAGGCGCTACACATGGAAGGATCTGAAGTGAAAGCAAGAGGTCGCCCTAGGAGAAGATGGACTGATGACATTAAAGAGCTTCTACATCAACACAGAATGAGAAAAGCCAATGCTGCCCTTCAAGCAGCTATGTGGAGTTGAGTCAAGAATTCACATCACAGCACTCGGGGCATTCCCATGCATGCTCCGTCCTCATCTTCAGCAGCCAGCGCAGAGTTCCAATACTGATGGTACCGGTCACAATCTGGTTATATATCCGTCTTGCCTTTTCTGTGAGTGTAGTGAGCCGGCCCGATCCTCTGCTAATCCTCTCCAGGCCATAATAATCGTCTTTCTTTACTGATTCCGTTGCTTATTCCCAAAGGGCCTTGACCACATCAAGCAATGCCCATCAAGCAATGAATTGCAAACTGTTCCTCCCCACAACGCCCAACCGGAGAGCTGGAAATTATTGATGACAGATACATAATTGTGGGAGACAGCTGCAGGAGACAGATATATCTAGGGAAGAGATGTACGAAATGGACTGGTGCTCTCTGAGTGCAATTTAACCAAACAGACTGCGTCCATTAGTCACTCACGGTAGGACCTGCCCCATCTTACAGAAACTGTGACAGAGATTTCGTGCTGGGGTTAACCTGGCAGCTGAGGTCATGTCTGAAAACAAACAGCCTGGTTTTGTTCAGATTTGAACCCAAGACCTTCGGATCTGCTGGCCAGCGTCTAGCCACTACCCATGGTGGCTCCTAGGGGGGCACTGGGTTTATCCTTTTTTTTAAAAACTCTTCTTCTCCAAAAAGGGGTCCTGAAAATTACAACAATAAACACACAAACACCAACAGTTCACAAAGTAATACCACATTAACATTAACAGTTCATAAAGTAATACCACACAAACATCAACAGTTCATAAAGTAATACCACACAAGCACCAACAGTTCACAAAGTAATACCCAAAAGATGAATAAGCAAGGACACTTCTCCAGTTGATTCTTCCCCCTGTTGCTGGATCAGGGGCCACTAGCTGTGATATGATGTTTCCAATACCGGATATTATGGCACTGAAAAGATAAATAACAAAATAACCTTTGCTTGACCATAATTTGTTTGTTTGTTTTAATCCAGAAGCCATGAGTTGTTAACCCTTAGGCTCGGTATTATGGATATCGCAACCTTTCGGCCTTGATTCCACTGTAAATACCGTAAATCTGGGAGAAAATGTGGCTTTCCTGCCTACCCCCGGGATTGAACCCGGACCACAAGGAGTTCGTCACCAGGTCACCGCGCAATCAGGTTCAGCCAACTACGCTAGAGAGCCGGGCAGACCATAATTTAAATGTAATCTTCTTCTTCTTCTTCCCGCTCACCAGCTGTAAATTCTGGCAGAATGTTCTGGTTGCTTATCCCCTTCTTGTTCCAGAACTTGAGCTTTGCATGCACATCTGTTTACTGATATGGCTATTTTTAATGCAGAATGTCGGCTGCGTGGTCTTGAGGCATGGTGTCCACCTCGAGTGCTAGAGGTTCCAGGTTCAATCCCCGGTAAGGGGCTGGGATTTTTTCACGTGGACTTGGACTTCTAGTAATTCCCCCTGGTCTCTGGGTAGTGAGATTGGACGCCCGTGTGCATTGTTGTGCACGTAAACAATCCCTTGGCAGCCGTAAATCAAAAATAGTAGAGCCTAACCGCATTGCCCGGCAAAATTTGGAGTTAAAAATCTACCCTAAGTATTTCAGGATCCTTGCCGGTGCTACAGAGCCTGTGCACTGTGCTGAGCTTCTTCCGACTCAGACTTGAGTTAGAAGAAGAACAAAGCACTTATAGGTTACTATCTGTGTGCCATGATGTTGATCCGTTGTTCAAACTTTAAACTTCTGCACAGTGACTTCGAAGAAAACACCCCTAATTTATTGACTTTTGACTTTTACCATATGTTTGTTGGAAATGGCAATGGGGTTATTCTTCTATTCCCCCCCCCCCCCCCCCCCAAAAAAAATGGGGCCCTGGAATCCACACGAGGATTTCATTTCATAAATTGAGTTTAAAAGTTAAAAATATACATCAAGAGGAAGAGTTTAAAAAATATCAAATATACTCTTATCTTAGTTACATATTAATATGAAGAGCACATACTGAAATATTTAGCTGTTACATTTGTCAGAGGACTGTTTTTGTTCGCAAGAACTACAGATGTGGAACAAGGAATGTTATACACACTCAGGCAGAGCCTAGTTATGTCAGCCACTGAATCTGATCTGTGGATGCTAACGATGTCAAAGACTCAGCTAGAGAAACTGGAACGCATACAAAATGAGTCTATGCGAACCATTCTGGGATGCACAAGGAACACACCAGTTGTGTAAATGAGACATATTTTAGCTATGCCGATAGTTGATGGCAGACATGGTATACTGCAGGCTGGGTACTTTCTTACAGTGGCACGTGATTCAGAACATATCCTGCATAAGGAACTGGACACTGCGAAGGGTGACAGACTAAAGAGGGGCAGATCCTGGATGGCCGAGGTTGAAAAGACAATCAACAAGGTCTACAACATTCAAGAAAAGAATGGTTAAAGTTACCAGAGGCATAGAAGAGGTGCACAAAGTGGTTATTACCTTGGGATGAGAATGCAGGGGATGTGTGGCTGGATGTGAAGATGCAGAGGTTCAACAGCTGAGAGAGGACATTTCTAGGCCAGGAGATGTGATTATATACACTGATGGGTGAGCTGCCAGGAGAAAAAAAGTAGTCAGGGCTTCGTTGCAAAAGCATGGGGAGAAGGATAATCGAAGAGAGCTTGTCAAATGACATCACCACATCCAGCATGAGAATTGAGGCTGTAGTGATAACTGTGCAATTCCAATGGGTGGAGAAATCTCAGCCACACATGTCATAGTGTCGAATTCATGAAGCATGCCAGGAAGGTAGAGTCGGGTTTTTCCTGTATGGAATGGATATCAGTCCAGAGGCCACCGGTGGTGAGAGTCACATGAATATGTGTGTTTAGGAATGAGCAAGCAGATAGGCTGGCTGGAACTGCACAAGGCAGAGGTGAAAACGGGAGCTCTCCTCCGGATAACTTTCCCAAATCATTAAGGTTAAAAACATACCTAATAGGACCTCAGTAATGTGTAAAATTAGGATTTTTTTCTGGTCCAGCAAATATGACAGGCAGAACATCAGCTCCGATACAGATTTACAACAATGTTCTACCAACTAATAAACTGGCAGGTGACAGATTCTCGTGGCGGTGTTAGGGTTAGTTCTAACCCTAACACCAAGACAACAGAAGGATTATGGATGCAACTCAAATGGAAGCAACTATTGCAGTCCTGTTAGGGTATTTTCTTCAATATGCAAGTGATGCTGGGGGGTACAAGAGACACCCCAACTGTGTGCATGCTATACATCCTTGCATTGCCGACTATTGCAGATAGACTAAAGGTGCTGCAGTCTAAATCATACCTCAGAGCAGCTGCAGACAAAGAACACCCTCTCTTTGAAGCTTTGGCTGCAGGTAAAGGTCAGAGGCTGAAAAGGGGAAAATCATGGATGGCTCAAGCAGAAGACACAATAATACAAGTATGCATGCTGGAGAACATTGTGTGAGGAGAGGAGTGGGTCAGAGTATCAGAGGACAAGTCTGACCTGTGTAGGTTTATGATCACATTGGGTCGGGAGTGCAGTGAGTGGCCAGCGGGTGCTACAGAGGATGAATTCCAACAGTCGATTCACGCCCAGGTGATCTGATTATCTATACAGATGGTTCGGTGGTGAGAGGAAAGAGAAGTTCATACACATGTCGTAATTTTAACAGACTCTGAAAGTATGCTGAGAAAGGTGAAGACAGGGATGCTTCAAGCAGAGCTTCACTTGAAAGATCATGGGCAGTGAGCATACTTTGGATCTTTTTTCCTGGTCATGCCGGTGTAGTGGGTAATGAACAGGCAGACAGATTGGCTGGATCTGCACCACTGGGTGGTGAACTGATGCATGACAGGGCAGATGTTGTCAAGGCCGTTGGGAACAAGTAACGGAATCAGTAGAGAAACAAGATTATTATGGCCTGGAGAGAACGAGGCACCTGGGTGTAACCAGAGGGTTTGGCCGACTCGCTACATTCAGAGGAAGGCCAGACGCACGGACCTATAACCAGATTGTGACCGGTACCATCAGTATTGGAACTCTGCGCTGGTTGCTGAAAATGAGGATGGAGCACGCATGGAAATGCCCCAAGTGATGTGATGTCGATTCTTGACTTAACTTAATAGTATAGTAGTAAGGGGCGTCTGCCGCGTTGTCGGTGGGTTAAGCACACAATCAACCGTGTTAACTTTACCTAGACTTTCCAGTTTCCTCACCTCCCAGTTAGACTTACTTGGTTGCTGCTTTGGTGATGATAGGTCTATCCTGAAGCAGACGAACATACTCTGCCACCGCTCGATGTAAAATCCCGTTGTTGGCAGGCTTTTTCTTCTTCTCCCTGCTGCTTTCCATTTTAAGTTTGCAAGATCACGGCTAATAACTCTCACAAAAGTGTCATCTACGGTTACTTCCCTTGTCTCAAAACTATCGCTTCATTGTTATCACATTTATCATTGAGGTAGAATTGATCAAGTAACATAAAGTGTATTGATCGGCATTCATATAAAGAAATAGAAAGATAGAAGAACACACTAGACAACATAAAAATCGAAAGCTATAGTTACCGTGCTGGGAATGGAACCTGTCACCTCCAGACGGCGTGTGCGCCTCGCCATGGATACAAGTGCACTAAGAACATAGTCAACTTGGCACCCCCCCCCCCCAAAGGTGTCTTATTGGCCATGTCTATCATACAGCTTGAAATTCACAACTATGGAATACGGACAGAATTCATTTCAAACCATTTAAATGGCACAATAGGTTCCAGACATTTATATTAACGAAGCATTTGTCGAATAACAATCACTGCAACAATTTACGAACACAGTAAACCTTAATGCTTTGTCTAGAATACACAAACATTTAAGAAAGGTATTTGATTGGTAGGTTTCTTTCTATGAATGCCGATCAATACACTTTATGTTTCTTGATTAATTCATTGAGGTAGAGGCGGTCATTGCAGCCTTCCACTGTCTTGTGACCAGAGGGACACATGTGGAGAAGGGTTAAAACATGTATGCTACATTCAGAATGGCAATGTTATGTTATCACAATCGGTGTCACTGCACATTGGGCTTTCCCATGCGGATTCAGTCCCCCGATGCAGCAACCACTTCAAGGTACTTCTACTAATTGTTCACACGAGAAGCTTGTTGTAATATCTTCTATCTCGGCCTCGAAAGCGGCATAGACGTTCTCATCGTGCTTTACTCCCATGTCACTCAGTCGTGTTAGTATCAAAGATTCGCCATTATCTATTAGCCCTGTCCGTACAGCGTTGACGATATCTGCTCTGTCCCTGCTTCTTCCCACATGCGTTGGTGCATTGCTCGCCAGTCAGTGTGTAAATCCAGGTGAGGGAGGTTAAGTGCGATTTTCCAATGCTATATACCGATTCAAAACGCATACCGCCTGTTGCTATCTGTTGAAGCATGTTCATGGAGTCTGATACAATAACTGCATGTGATGCCGTTTGCTCGGATATCCTTGCTCTAGAAGCAGCGGTCATCTCCATGGTCATGCTTGACGTAGTTGCCTGGTAAACGCCGCTGTCCTCTTGTATTGTTTTCCCCATTCTTTGCTGACCTCGATCCGCGCTTAAAGGATCCATTTGTATAGATAATGATATCGTCTGTGTATTAATGCTGATCTATACCTCTGTGTCTACAGCACCAGAAATCTCATCCCTGCACTGCCTTCCGAGTGTGGTGACAACCTTAGATATGCCGCGTATGTCTATTGGTGTATTTGTCTATTCTTTTCCGTGACTGATCTCGTCTAGATCACAAACCTGCTGAATTGCATCTTTAGCCGTGGTCATCAAAGAGCGGCCTTTTTTTAGACGCATTCCTTTTGTGTCGTGTTTAGCTTTGTGCATTTGGTGGTTAACGTTTTGAACTCACAACTGGTTGTTCTAGCCATGCTCCGCTGGCTAGAGAACACGACACACACATACATCGTGATTTTAACTGACTCAGAAAGCATGCTGAGGAAGATCAGAACAGGTATGCTTCGTGCAGATTAGCATGCTTCGCTGCGGAGGAAACGGGTGAAGAGTATTGTCTGGATTTTTTCATCGGGAACGCCGGTGTGTTGTGAAATGAACAGGCGGACAGACTGGCTGGCTCTACACAACTTGGTAGAATACTGATAAGGCAGACGTGGCTAGTGCCTGGTAGGAGAGCGTGTACAGTTCAGAGGAGCAAATGGATCACCACAGTCTGGTGAGACTGATGCAGCGGGGAGTGACGAGAGGTTCTGGCAGATGCTCGAGGCCCAGAGGAAAGGCAAGATGGACGTTTGATCAGAATGCTACTGGCACCATTAGTATCGGAACTCTTCGCTGGCTGCTGAAGATGGGGACGGAGAGCTTATGGGAATGCCCCGAGTGCTGTGATGTCAGTTCTTCAATCAAATCAAATCAAATCAATCAACTCACAACTCATAATCTATCGCCTTATCATCATTTTTGAGCAAGCCCGTTGCAGAGCGTTGCTCTTATCACGGTATTAAAAAACTATGTATAAAACTAGTTAAGGTAGGTGCAAATAAATAACAACTTGGCGTACTAGTCTCTTATCAACAAAAGAAGAGAATAATCAAATCAGTCAGACAGCCAAGACGATTACCATTTTATGGACAGACAGGAGCAAGTTATTATTCTACGCCTTAGAACAGGACACAGTCGACTTAAAACTGGCAAATCAGCCAGGTACACATGTATATTTGCACCTCAGACAACAGATCATGTCCTCCAAGACTGTCCTAAATACAACATATCACGGCCAAACTTTTGGCTAAGGAAAACTTTGGTGAAGTCAAACTGTACGGGTCGCTGAGTGAATTCAAAAGACAGCGAAGTTCATACTAGAGACAACATTGTAGATAAAGATAATCTACTTCAAGCGAACGAAAGAAGAAGAAATCACAGTATTATGCCAACTTGTTCAGTCTTGTGAACTTTCGTGGCTAGGATGTCCTTGACATCCTGTGTCCACCCTCATGCTGTTCGTCCCCTGCCTTATTTTTAATTAGCTATCTATTTCTATTAGTGTAACCTTCCAACCCGTTATGGCGTTCATTTTTACCGATATCTTCTTCTTCGTCTTTTCGTTCTAACTGCCTGCGTTTTTTTTTAATGGGAATGCCAAAGGTGCAGTTTGTGGAAGACGAGGCAGTGGTCGACCACCGCAAAGATGGATACAGGACATTAAAGATGCATTGGCACCGAAAGGGCATAGGGTCGAAGAGCTGGCTGGGGAAACGGATACTTTCAGGCGTGCCTTGAAGAGAACGACGTTCTGTAAAGGACACTGCTAAATAATAGGCCTCTATGAAGTCTGTGTATCGACGCATGTCTTCCACTGTTCCGTACAAACTGATTTCCATTCGAACGCAACCAGCCAAACCTAAGATCTCTCTTCTGCGTATAGAGAGCATGTCTACAGCATATGTTTAGCTTTCTGTGGTACCTGTCCACATGGACAAAGTTCTGAATCCCCAGTCTTGAATTTCTAGTCCATTTGGCTGTTGTGTCCAGTACGCTGTCTACACGGGACACGTTCTGAAACACCAGTCTTGAGTTTCTAGCACATATGGCTGTTGTGTCCAGTACGCTGTCTACACGGGGCACGTTCTGAAACACCAGTCTTGAGTTTATATATGGCTGTTGTGTCCTGTACGCTGTCTACACGGGACACGTTCTGAAACACCAGTCTTGAGTTTCTAGTACATATGGCTGTTGTGTCCAGTAGGCTGTCTACACGGGACAAGTTCTGAAACACCAGTCTTGAGTTTCTAGCACATATGGCTGTTGTGTCCAGTAGGCTGTCTACACGGGACAAGTTCTGAAACACCAGTCTTGAGTTTCTAGCACATATGGCTGTTGTGTCCAGTAGGCTGTCTACACGGGACAAGTTCTGAAACACCAGTCTTGAGTTTCTAGCACATATGGCTGTTGTGTCCAATACGCTGTCCACGTGGGCAAAGTTCTGAATCCCCAGTCTTGAATTTCTAGTACATATGGCTGTTGTGTCCAGTATGCTGTCCACATATAATGGACTGTTTCCTTCGTGAGAGGGGGCTGATTTGAGTCTTCACGATTATATCCTGAGTGAGAAGGCTGAAATAAAATTATATTTTTCATGATACAGCCACCTCCTCCTGTATGAATGAATGAATTAAGGATTTACATCATTGCCCTCTCATACGTGGTCCGTCCCCAGCTTCAGAAACCAACGATATTCAAATCGGGAAGAATCTCAGTTTTTTCCCCATAACTTGGTCCATGAAACTCTTAAGAATCGCATTTAAGGGTACAAGATTTTCATCTGCAGAAGTAACGAAATAGTCCATGACGCAAAACCGTATGTTTCCACAGCAAATGAAGTGGAAAGAGGAAGAGGGGGTGGTCGACTAAATAGTTAAAATGAGGAGTCTGTAGTGGAGAAGAAGAAGAAGAAGAAGAAGAAGAAGAAGAAGAAGAAGAAGAAGAAGAAGAAGAAGAAGAAGAAGAAGAAGAAGAAGAAGAATGACAAGAAGAAGAAGTTCAAGAAAAAGAAGTTCAAGAAAAAGAAGAAGACGAAGACGAAAAAGAAGACGTGTTGCACAACTAGGAGTATAATAAAAGTGAAGATTGGAAAAAAAATTATAAAACCACTAAAAACAGCGAAGAAGAAGAAGAAGAAGAAGAAGAAGAAGAAGAAGAACTACTTAACCATAAGAGAAAACGAAAGTGAACACAACCAAAGGCTCGTACCTTCAACATCTCCATCCAAGTCTCGCGAGCTAGCGAGACCAGAATTAATCAAAATGGTAGCTGGTTCGCAACCGTCGACTCGATAAGCATTTTTACCTCAAAACGGCGGCTTTTCTCAGAGAATACCCACTCATATCAAACAAACATGATTTACAACACAAGACTAGCATTATTTGCCTCTTCCTGTGCATAACTACGACCTGTAGAGGAATTACTTTGACGAGTTTATGAAGAAAGAAATTGGTATGTGGTCTATAGAAGTGGACACCGACTTTTTCTTCTACATCCCTGCAAGATTTGTCGTTTCTAGACAACTTAATTTTGCGGGTTGCGGCGTTATAGGTGGCTTGAATCGCCACCCGGCTGTAGAAGTTTGCGCCGACAGCGACAGGAGTGTTGATAGAGATTTTCGAGAGAATTTAAAACGATGGTTCTGTCTACTTTGATAGATGTAGACTCGCTGTTGTTGCTAATGGTCGCTTTCAGCGGAGCTGTGGTCCTGACTAGGAACAGCTCGCAGGATGATCTGATGTCCAGCGATCAGGGACTAACAGGTACTTGCTTTCTTACATCGTATTTACATAGTCTGTCTGTT